CAGCTCCACTAGGCAGTGGCAGTGGGGACTCTGTGTGGGAGCTCCAACCCCACATCTCCCTTCTGTACTGCCCTAGCAGAGGTTCTCCATGAGGGCCCTGCCCCTGCCGCTGCAGCAGACCACTGCCTGGACATCCAGACATTTCCATATATCCTCTGAAATCTAAGCAGAGCTTCCCAAAGCCCGATTCTTTTTCTCTCTCTCTCTTTTTTTTTTTTTAAGTTGTGATAACAGCTTTTATTCAGGAACAATTGCAAAGGAGAAGGAAATCCAGGTTCAATTTCAAATACATCATGGACAAGTGGAGATTTATAACCAAGGAGCAGGGTGAGGTCAGTGGATGGAAAATTACTGAGAGGAAACATCAGATATAAGGGGGATTCTGGCTAAACTGACTTGATAGGATTCTTGGTGAAGGTGGGTCAGAATGATCACATACCAAAGGTTATGGGGATGAGGAATCTGAAAAATCACCTTCAGTTCTTTGAAAATCTGCTGTCTATGTCACTACATTTAAATTATAAGTGCAAGTGAGTTGTTGGCAATGCAGCATGCCAAAGCTGAGTTAAATAGCTAGGAAGACTCTAGAGATAAGAATGCTTTTTTTAAAATCAAATTTTGTCAATAAGTATTCTTAAAAAGGTGAGCTTACAAAAGCCAAAGTGATTGAATATTGTTTCATGGTCTATGCAGTCAATTTTCATCTTCCTTGTGGCCTGAAGACAAGTAGCCATGAGCAATGAGCATTTTTTAAAGTTTTATTTTATTTATTTCATTTTATTTTAAGTTCCAGGGTACATGTGCAGGATGTGCAGGTTTGTTACATAGGGAAATGTGTGCCATGGTGGTCTGCTGCACCTATCAATGCACCACGTAAGAATTAAGTGCAGCATGCATTAGTTATTTTTCCTGATGCTCTCCTTTCCCCCATCCTGCCGACAGACCCCGGTGTGTGTTGTTCCCCTCCCGTATCCATGTGTTCTCATTGTTCAGCTCTCACTTATGAGTGAGAACATGTGTTTGGTTTTCTGTTCCTGCATTAGTCTGCTGAGGACAATGGCTTCCAGCTCCATCCATGTCCCTGTAAAGGACATGATCTCATTCCTCTTTATGTCAGCATGGTATTTTATGATATATGTACCACATTTTCTTCATCCAGTCTATCACTGATGGGCATGTGGGCTGATTCCATATCTTTGCCATTGTGAATAGTGCTACAGTGAACATATGTATGCATGTGTCTTTATAGTAGAATAATTTCTATTCCTCTGGGTATATGCCTAGTAATGGGATTGCTGGGTCAATTTGTATTTCTGGTTCTAGGTCTTTGAGGGATTGTCACAGTCTTCCACAATGGATGAACTAATTTACATTCCCACCAACAGTATAAAAGCATTCCTATTTCTCCACTGCCTCGCCAGCATCTGTTGTTTCTTGACTTTTTAATAATTGCCATTCTGAGTAGTGTGATGGTATCTCATTGTGGTTTTGATTTGCATTTCTCTAATGATCAGTGATGTTGAGCTTCTTTTTTTATACGTGTGTTAGCTGCACAAATGTCTTCTTTTGAGAAGTGTCTGTTCATGTCCTTTGCCCACTTTTTAATGGGGTTGTTTGTTTCTTCCTTGTAAATTTGTTTAAGTGCCTTGTAAACTCTGGATATCAGATCTTTGTTAGATGGATACCTAAACGTCAACTCTTGACTTTTGTGCACTCACAGGTCCAACACCACATGGAAGCTACAAAGGCCTGGGGCTTGCACTCTCTGAAGCAAAGGATTGGAGCTTGCACCCTCTGAAGCAATGGCCTGAGCTGTACATTGGCCCCTTTTCACCATGGCTGGAGCAGCTGGGAACACAGGGCACCAAATCCTTAAGCTGCACGCAGCAGTGGGTCCACAAAACCATTTCTCCCTCCTAGAACTCTAGGCCTGTGATGGAAGGGGCTGCCATGAAGACTTCTGACATGCCCTGGAGACATTTTCCCCATTGTCTTGGTAATTAACATTCAGCTCCTCATTACTTATGCGAATTTCTGCAGCAAGCTTGAATCTCTCCCTAGAAAATGGGTTTTTCTTTTTTATGGCATCATCAGGCTGCAAATTTTCCAAACTTTTATGCTCTACTTTTCTTTTAAACATTAGTTCCAATTTCAAATCATCTCTCTCAAGTTCAAAGTTCCACAGATCTCTAGGGCGGGGCAAAATGCCACCAGTCTCTTTACTAAAACATAGCAAGAGTGACTTTTACTCCAATTCCCAACAAGTTCCTCATCTCCATTTGAGACCACCTCAGCCCGAACTTTATTGTCCACACCATTATCAGCATTTTGGTCAAAACCATTCAACAAGTCTCTAGGAAGTTCCAAACTTTCCCACATCTTCCTGTCTTCTTCTGATCCCTCCAAACTGTTCCAACTTCTATCCATTACCCAGTTCCAAAGTAGCTTACACATTTTCAAGTATCTTTATAGCAGTGCCCCCAACTCCTGGTACCAATTTACTGTATTAGTCCATCCTCCCACTGTTATAAGGTAATATTTGAGACTGGGGAATTTATAAAGAAAAGAGATTTAATTCGCTCATAGTTCCACATGGCTGGGGAGGCCTTAGGAAACTTACAATCATGGCAGAAGGTGAGGCAGGTACATCTTACATGGTGGCAAGCAAGAGAGAAAAAGCAAGAAACACTGCTTATAAAACCATGAGTTCTCATGAGAACTCACTCAGTAACATGAGAACAGCATGGAGGAAACCCCATGATCCAATCCCCTCCTACCTGGTCCCTCCCTTGACATGTGGGAATTATGGGGATTACATTTCAGGATGAGATTTGGGTGGGCACACAGTGCCAAACCATATCATGAGGGAAGAAACTAATACTTACAAAGGGTAAGTAAATGGAGTTCAAAGTCACCCAGGGAGTAAATTGTGAAGCTAGGATTCAAACAGACCAAGACTCCAGAGCTTGCAGATTTTACTGCCATAGACAAAATGACTTATGTAAGGACAGAGTACATTGAAATAATTACCTAGGAACAGACACTGGGAATATATGACTCCTTTATTTGACTAGACTAGGAATTTTCAATGATTTCCTATTGACTTTCATAATGTAAAAGTTAAAAAATTTTATGTTCTTTCCATGCCATACTTGTATATTATTTTAAAGTTTGGTGCTCATTAACTTTCCCATCCACATGTACTCCAGATCATAAAAACAACAAAAATACTACATAACCCCATGTCTTTCAAAAAAAAAAAAAATGACTTTTCACTATATCACCTTAGATTAAAATAGTAAGTTCTTACTTTGCTCAGGTATTGTGTAAGAATCAACATTATCTCACTGGATTCTCATAATAGTTGTCTAATTTACAAGATGAATAAACAAAAGCTCAGAATATTTAAGTAAATTCCCCAAGCTCACATAGCTAGCAAATGGCAAAGCTAGGCTTTCAACCATCTCTGCTCAACTCTAAACTATTCTCCTACACTATTTCCTTTAGAACCATGCCAACTATGGGATCATTTTACATTCTTCCCAGGCATCATCTCATCAAGACAGGGCCTTGGGATTTACATAAACATTAGCCTACTATAAGCAAATAACATGTTAACTGTCTCCAAAGAGATTAAAGAATGGGACATATAAAGATGGAACAACAAAAATTCAAGTGATAAATTGTATCAGGGTGACAATTAAAGAATAACAACAATAATTTTTATTTCTATTATATTTTACAACATTGTAAACTGTTTCTGACCTTCCGACAGATGTAAGAAGTAAGTTTATTTAACAGCCCTTGAGTAAACTGCATAAGCAATCTGACCCCCATCAGTAAATGTGCAGGGCCATTCTTAAGACGGAATGAGTTCCTGCAAGAAGATGCCCAGTAGAGCACCCAGGCAGGACAGGTACAGTGTAGGTGTTCAACTCATGCCAAGATCTGTCACTTTCCAGCTGCTCATGCCTAGCACAGAGAACGGCACACAGGGTCCTTTTAAAATGTCTGAGAGGAATATGCTATGATCTCAGTCTTCTCTTAGGATTCACCTTTCCTACAATTGCCTATTTTCTGAACTCAGCTCTGAAATGAGCTATTCTCTGTTTCACTCTTTTTCACATTATCCAAAATAATTCAATGTCCACCTTTTCCTTTGGGAAAATCAAAGGTTGACATGGCTACCTTTTGAACTCAAGCTGTTAAAGATCCCTTTTTGTGTTCAAAAGTTTTACTGATTTTGAAAGGTCTTATTGATAAAAACACAGAGAAACTCAGGGGAAAAGGACAAAGAGAAAAAAGAAGAAAGAGAAAGAATAAAGAAGCCAGAAAAGAAAGAAAAGGAAGAGAGCCCAAGAGGAGCAGAGAGAGGCAATAGGCTACTGAATGCATAATTGTCAGCAGTCTTAGAAACTAGCTCATGTAACAATCATACAGCATTATTTTTAAAAACCAAGGAGAAAATATTTACAAAAAACCCAAAAGATATATGCTCTTTGTTAAGTGCTGCAAAATGACAATGTATTCAATTCATTAATTCATGAATTAGTCTGTGTGATGTTTACTTCTGGTGTCATTAGCATTCCTGAGCTAAATATTTAAAAGAATAGAAAGGAAATTTAAGAACTAAAGACAAAAAAATATATTCTTTCTGTTGTTTTTGTTACTCTATTTTTTTTGGCTATATTTGTATGGTTTTAGTTATTTATTTAGGGCTTTTAATGAAATGAGTGACATGAAACCATCCAACTCCCTCTTGAAGACCTCTGTCTCCAAGGTATGTATGAAAGTCACACAAATTTTAAATAATTTAAAACAAAGTTATGTAGAAAACTCATGTAAATTTTAAGCATTTTTCTAATTGTGCTTATAAATAATAGTTTCAAAAGCAGATATGTTACAATAAACACATATTCAGAGTAAATTAGGCCTTAATTATGTTTAGCAAATTTTATGTCCTCATTAAAAACAGAATCGCAACAATAAACATGACTTACCACCAGAATTAACTCTGCCACAATTGTCTACTCTTCCCAAACATTCTTTGTGTGCTCTCGCTCCACACTTAAAACATAAATAGCCTTGATAAAATGTTCCCCTGAAAGGTGAAATAAGAGAGTGGTATATTAAACGGTGCAAAATTCTGCCCATATGAAATTAGTGCAAGAAGGAGGAAAAAAGTATCAACAGTGTTCTTCAAGATACTCCCTCAGTAGAGGGAGAGGAGCTTGCCAGAGCTTCTGAAAGAACTGTCCAGGCAGAAGGCCTGGCAAAGATTTGTGGGATCCAGACTGCTAAGGCAAAATCCCCACTTTCGAACCTATTGGCTAGAAGGTTAGAAAAGTCTGAAACACTTAGCAATTATAGCAGTTGCTTTAAACTGAAAACCAAGACTGAGCAGGCTTACCTCAGGAGCATCTGGCAGACTTTGCAGGATGTGACTCGAGTGAAGGTGTGCATCTTGAAGTCGTGGAAATTGGAGTCTGCATAGTCTGGCCTTATGTTAGACCTATAAAAAGGAAAAAAATAACTTTCTATAGAAAGTTTCATAACAAAGCTGCAATTTAGTCATCTAAACCCTAAATTCATCAAAATGACATCAGGTAGAGATCTGGTTCAAGCAAAATGACTATTAAATGTGCAATGTTTTCTAAGCCAAAAGTATGCTATGCATTAAAATATGTACCAGAATCTGGTTGTGTGGGAACAAGCAACCTGGAAGGGCATAGCAACCTAATCCTCCTCAGAATTGAGCATTCTCAGAGAACTTTAACAAATGGCCACGTAGGTCAACCTGCCTGGAAAAAAAACAAAAAGCAAAAAAACCCGCTGGATACTCATGCTATCTGATAGTTCCTTGTCTGTAGCCTTGCAACTGAAATACAAGCTAGCAGGTGAGGGTAGGAGGGAGAAGAGGGTCATCTCTAAATAGATCTGTGGACAACATAATGGTCCATAACAAGGAATACAGTAATTTTATAGGAAGTTTGAAAATAAAGCATTAGGGTGATCGTTAAAAAATTCTTAATATTTCACTTTACTCACAATCTAAGTAATAATGAAACAAAATAATTTTACAATTTTATATTTTATGTATATCATATATACAAAAGTTATTTTGCACACCACAAACTAATATTCTTTGTATATTTTCTCTGTGCCAGATACTGTGACAACCATATGACATTCATTACTTCATTTAATCTTCACACCAATCCTAACTGCCTGGCAAGAATAATATCACTAGCTTACTCTAAAGTAAAGCTTACCCTTAAAGAAAATGGCATGATTGGGAACTCTAACTCAGGTCTTTGCTCTTGGCCACTGAAACTATAGCTCAAGGAGGAGATCAGCAATGTTCATATTAACATAATCAAATTTTTGTGCTTAGCAGGTATTTTGAAAACATTTAACTGTGTTTTTTTTCTTTGAAACATTATTCTTGGCTTAGCTATTTAGGTTGCTGCAAAAGTAATTGAGGTTTTTGCTATTCTGTTCAGTGGCAAAAGAAGGCAGAAAAATTAGACTGGGATAAGTTAAAGATGGATACAAATCAGGGGTACACCTAGAAAGCTAAAATGATATGCTCCAAGATGTTACACACAATTTGAGAGATTGTAGGAAAAGCTTGAGATACTGATGAGCCAGGATTTCCCCTTTTATAGAATACAGCAACTCTCAACCACACAGAACCCTGGTGAAATGAAGCATAACACAGGCAGGTGACCAGGCATCAATCTCTGAGGTACCAGGAGAGGCCTTATAAAAAAACATTCTCAAAGGCAATTGGAGTAGCAGGCAGTGATGCAGAAGTGTCAGAGAGGTCAGCCTTCCAATCCATCTGCTGAATATGAGCGTGCTAAAAATGAAATCAAATATTAGTGCCATCTGGGATTTCTCTGCTCTGTGCTTCTGGTGACCTCACTTTTTCGGAAAATGTTCCACTGCATGCTGAGAATTATGGACATTTCCATAGAGGCATTTTTGTGTTACTGATTAAAAATTACAGAGCTTTTCTACAGAAAAGGAGACACAGAGAAAATATAAGGATCTAGAAACAAAAACTTTCTTCACATTGTTCAGAAAATAGTTTGATTCTTGAGTCCATAAAGCCATGCATTGAAAACTCCATCAAAACTTGTTTCCTTAGTCAGGAACGGCTGTTGGTTCATTTGTTTCTGAGCCTCAAGGTGATAGGGTCATACATGATTTGTCAAATAAGTTTGAGTCCTGGCAACTCAAAAAATTCATCAACCTGGAGTTTTCAAACATGAGTTTCAGGCAGAAACGCATATAAGTAAGTTCCAAACAGGTAAGAAGTTAATTTCAAAAATCTGCCTTGGACACAGACGGAACATCCACATGCACACACACAAACATGCCGGAGTTGTGTTTGGACCACCGGTATTTAAAACTTTCACAAACTAAGAATAAGCTGAACTTTCAGAAACAGACAACTGAAAGGGGGAATCACAAAGCTACTAAGACGTTTTACAAAAAAATTATGATGAAAAAGGTTCTGAAAATATTGTTGACAGTAGCTGCCCTATGGGAATAAAGACTTAAAGTGGTAGGTAAAAGAGTAGAAAGAAACTATTATAATTATTTGAAAACTATAATGGCATATTATTTTTAAAATCTAGAATCAAACACTAAAGAATAGATGTTAATTCTATGACCCCAAAACTGCTGCTGAGGCAGTCAGTACTGAATAAAAAGCATAGGTAAGGACAGGAATCTGAAACTAGACCACCTGGGCTTACATCCTAACTTGCAAATCAGTAGCAGCGTGATCTTAGGCAAGTTAGTGAGTATAAAACAGGAATACTAATAAAGCCAAACTCATCAAGTGATATATGTAACGTGCTTAAAACACTGCCTGACCCATATTTGGTGTTCAATCAATGTTGGCTACAATTTATGAAGTGCTGATTCCAAATCCATATAGTAACAGTGTGATCATGATAGTGCTTTGTGAGTGGTAAAGAGTCCCTTTTTAGGTCTGTGTCCAAGTCCCCAGAGGACATCCATTCTTCTGAGAATCTCCAGCACAACGACTTACATGCTCAGTGTCCTTGGGACTAGGAATCCATACATAATTATTTAAGTGTAATAAGAAGGTTACTCAAGAGATGACATGTATGAAAAACTCCATGTATGAAACTGTGATCTCTTCAGTTCCCACTGGTATGGCTTCATTCATTCAATGAAGCCATACCAAGTACAAACTGAGGAGATCACACACAGTCCATGGCCTGTGGGGGTGCCGAAACCAAAGATAGTAAGCTGGCTGGATGCGAAGGGTTGGGAAGGTAGATTGCATCAGAAGAGGACAGAAATGTTAGGATTACGGATTTGGAGAAACATAACATTAAAATGGTCAAGAGGCATTTATTTCACATCTCTAATGTACCAGGTACATCACTAGGCTCTTCGTATACTTTTTCACATTTACTTCTCAGAACAAATCTACAAGGCAGAGTCATTCATCCATTTCATAAGTATTTATTGAGTAACTACCATATGCACAGGCCCTTGGGCAGGAACAGAAAGAAGCTTCCTTCAGCTGGAGCCACATGAGCAAAGAGATGAGATAGGTTGGCAGGGGCCAAGGAAAGAAGTGAGATTTTATACAGGATTGACATCACATTTAACTGAGGAAGAACAAAAAAAAGTTCTGCTGCTACTACATAGAGATTTCCTTATAGTAAGACAAGCGTGGATATAGTAGGACCAATCACGGGGTTGGGTTGTCTATAGATGGGTGCTGAGTGTCAAACAGATTAGTTAACTTGCTCAGTTATGCTAATATACATAAAGAATTCCATTTTAGTAATCTGCCTTAACATATGACCATTTACTTTTGTGAATGTCAATGGAATCTTGTAGATTAATCAAATGTTCCCATTTCTTTTGCTTCACATAGAACTCATTATGAATATAACTAATCAGGCAATCAAATATTTATAGGGCAAGGAATGTTGACACACTTAGGGCTTCATATAGCTTTACATATTGTCTTTAGATGTTCTCTTCCTCTTACCTGGCTCCATCACAGGCCCTAAGTTGAACACCCCACTTTCCCCCTAGCTTGGACCTCTTTGTTCTCCAGATATGCATTCCCAACTGCTCCTCAGGCATCTCAAATGCAGCACATTTAAAACTCAATTTCCATGCATTTCCTGACTTATCTGATTCATTTACTCTATCTTCCAACCTGGCAACTTCAAAATCACAATGAATTTTTCCCTCTCCCTCACACCCTCTACATATTCACTTTATCTTAACCTTTCCTCTGATTCAATTTTTTCTTCCCTGAAATTATGATCAATTTTGGTCAATTCAGGCTTAAAAATACCTCCTCAAAAACTCAGGTTCCATACAAACACATATACACACCTGTACACCACCCTCCACACACACACCCACACACACCCTATCCTATTGGTTTTGTTTCTCTAAAGAATCCTAATATAGACACACTGGAAAATAATGTTAGATAGGTTTACTGGGGGCACTTACCAGAGAAGGAGATGGAAGCAATGCTGAAATTCAGATACGTCAGCCTCCATAACACTACGCAACATCTGATGCCCAGTTAAGTAGACCTCCTAGGCTTTCAGTAACTTTGTACTGACTTAAAGTAGCATTAAAAGTACTTGTAAGTCCGCCTCCCCACTGACCTATGTGGAGGGTGCATCTTCTCCTTTTTCCAGTCTCCTCTTTATAATCATCAAACATTCTAACAGGAAAATTAATGCTAGATATTCATAGCTGATAGACATCAGAAAAATATGCTTTTACTGTAGCATTTTCTTCATTTGTTTTCAAAAGCTGCCTTTTGCCACATTATCAGAAAGATGGAAGAATTAAAGAAAAGATAGAAACATTTTACTAAGCCAAAAAAAAATTTCTTATGTGAAAGAACACTGAAGAAAAACGTGATTCACTAAATTTCAATTAAATCTCAGAATTTATGTTTACTTACATATATCCTCTCTTTATTGTGAGAAAATATTTAACCTCCGATATGGTTTGGCTGTGTCCCCACCCAAATCTTATCTTGAATTATAGTTCCAATCATCCCCACGTGTTGTGGGAGGGACCAAGTGGAGATAACTGAATCATGGGGGTGGTTCCCCCCATCCTGTTCTCATGATACTGAGTTATTTCTCATGGGATCTGATGGTTTTATAAGAGGCTTCCTCCTTCACTGGGCACTCATTCTTCTCCTTCCTGCCGCCATGTGAGAAAGGACATGTTTGTCTCCCCTTCTACCATGACTATAAGTTTCCTGAGGCCTCCCCAGCCATGCTGAACTGTGAGTCAATTAACTCTTTTTTTAATAAATTACCCAGTCTCAGGTATGTCTTTATTAGCAGTGTGAGAACAGACTAATACAATATTTTTACAAAAAACTGTAATCGTACTCATAGATATATTTCAGTAGTAAGTATGATAGTGTAGTTAGTAATACCATTAAAATAATAATACATATTATTTTTACAA